AGGGTGGAGGGACAGCACAGGAGGGGAAGGCCCTCTATGAGGTGGATTGATTCAGTGACTGGGGTAATCGGGATGGGAGTGTCAAGAGAGTGCGATTGGCACAGGACAGAGCAGAGTTTAGGGCTGTTGTACATAGGGTCGCTATGAGTCGCAAGTGACTCGATGGCACATAACAAGAACATCATCATCTATGGTCAACGGATATTTGATAAGGAAATCAAAGCCATCATATAGTTGTATGTTTATCAGTTGAGAAATAACAGTAAATACATCAAGATACTGCCACCATGAATCACATAGCAAACTTCAGTGTGGAAAAAACCAAGAACAGTTTTCACATACATGGTCATTATTGTGGAAAGCACATGATTATTGAAATCCCAAATATTTGCTCATTGATTCTTGATGAAAAAGTCTGACAAGCACAAAATGCATGTTTACTATTTATATAAAATCCAGCGCTGTTGAGTGCATTCCAATTAATGGTGATCCACCATGAGGTTGTCCAAAATTGCAGGGATTGCCCTTTTTTATCCTTTGGAGGAGTGGATTTTGAACCAGTAACTTTGCAATTAGCAACTTTAACATGTAACTCACTATGGCACCAGGACAGAGTGTATCTCAGGAATAACTTTTTAACAAATTTTCTGACTTGTTTTAGCACTTTTTAGTGTATCCAGTTGTTCAGCTAAGTACATTTAAAAATCTTCCATTCAAGAACTAAGCAGGAATTCACAATCTTGACAGCTGCAGTCACTGGGGGTCTTCTTTTCACTGACTTCCCACCTTTCCAAGAAACAGCCTCTCTTAGCAACATGTCCAAAGTATGAGAGATGAAGCTTTGCCCTATTTGCCTCCAAGGAGCACTCTAGCGGCACTTTTTTCAAAACATACCTGTTTGTTCTTTTGGCAGTATAGAGTAACCTATTTATACATTTTATTTGAAAAGGTACGGACTCCCAGTCAATTTCCAAGCAGTGCTTCTACAACCTCATAAGAAGTCTTCCACCAAACGTTTAAGAGAAGTGCTAAACACCACCTTCAGACATTTGGATGAAGTAGCGGCTGCAAGTATATTGGATGTAAGTTTCCAAGTATATCTAGCTGTTATTTTAGTAAATACCCACTCCATGTGGGTAGTATTCTCAGGCGAAGAAAAAAAAAAAGGATATTGCCAGTCTGTTATGAAAATCTGCATATCACAAGGTTAAAGAAAAATAAGGAAAGGCAGGTATATCTGCGATGTGGGGGGATGATGGTGTATGGTGCAAGGCACAATGTATGAACAGTGGCTGAAGAGCTCCCTCAAAAGCATGAAAAATTAAACAGGGATGTGCAATTTATGCAACTAAAACAGATTACTATGTTTGTATTTTTTTAACTAGGCATCCGTGGAGATCCCTGGATTACAATTTAGTAACCAGGATTACTTTCCTTATGTCTACTTCCACATTGATCTCAGTCTCCTTGACTAGAAAGGTCGGCTGGCAGGAAGCTTTCATAGCTGTGTGGACTTCTCCAGAGGCGGCTTTCTGTGTCAGAGAATCATTTGCGTCTCATGTAATTAGACCTTCAGAGAAAATGCTCACCCAAGTTAGGTAGAGTTGTATTTATTTATTTTTTAAGTTACAATAAAGAAATACTTTTAGTTCTTTGAATTGTCTCGCCACATAATTCTAACACTTTAATGTTGTTTAAGTTTCTGTTTTACATAAATGGGGGCTACCTATCGGGTGGTAACCTGCTGCTGCTCTATTTCATGTCTTAATGAATATTTTATGAGAGTTTGGTAAGAATATAAAAACCCAAATAGTTATCAGTGATACCTCAAACAACAAAATATTGAGCAAGAAATGTTCTCAACTGACCAATCTCTGTCTTCCATACTTTTGAAAAACTTCATTCTTATTTACAAAAGGAATGTAAAATTTAGAACCCATAAAATCTGTACTGTAACAGGTATTCAGATGACCTTATTTAAAGTAAAAGGGTCTTTCCTCCCTTTTAATAAGTTTCTAAGGTGCAGAGATACCAGGATATCACTTCATAATAATTTACTAAATAAGTATCTACCTCTGAATTTCTGATATGGACACTAATTCCATACATTTATCAGTATTGTTCAAAATAAATTTTGTTTATTCTTTAATGGAAAAAAAGCCATTAATATTCAAATGAAGAAATTACATTAAAAAACCACATTTAAGAAACAGCCTCAAAGAATATTCAAGCAGCAGTTAGAGGGATGGGAAAAAAGTTTCAACAAAACCATCCGTTATTTTTCCAAAATATTATTAGAATACAATCCAATTCACTAACTACAGTAATTCATAGAATTCTTCAATGTTTTCTTGAGATGCAAAAGTTCCCTGCTGCAGTGTTTTCAAATGACCAAGTGCTACTTCCTGGTAAAAGGCCACTGGTAGATCCATATGATTAAGAACACTCCTTCACTGCTGAAAAAATCCGCTCCCAAGAAAAGAAAACTGAATTTTATGCTGCATGTCTCACAGCTCATCCTTCCCTAAGTCATCAAGCTCCACATCACTGAGATCAATATCATCTTCCACAGGAAGCTGAAAAACAGAAAATCATTGTGAGTATGTACTGCAGAGCTTATCCAAAACTGCAGGTACCCAAGGGAATGCCCCGGAAACCTAAAATGTTGCCTATTATGTAGACAGAAAAACTGAGAATTCAAACAAAATCTTGTTTTAATACTACACCACACCATCTCTTTAAAACTGAAAAGGCATTTAAATTGTTCTATGAACGCAGCTTCTCAGAATTGTTTCAACACAATTATCTTCTCCTAAGTCACGAAGGAGCTATGATCAGTATTATCTTTCACAGGAAAATTATTTAAACAATGGAACTGTGGTGCCATAAAGCAGGTACAACTCTAGCAACCCCATGAACTGCACCTTGCCCTACCCTGTACCAGCCTCAAGATCTCTAAAATGCCTGAGCCCCTTGTTACAGTCACTGTGTCTCCATCTTGTTAAAGGTCTTCCTCTTTAATCTATGGCTTTAACTGATGCTAAGATTAGTACAATTCTTTAATCTGAGAGGATGGCTTCCACAATTAAAGTAATTCTTTAGTCTGAGAGGGAAACAGTAAAATTATAAAATAAATATAAACTGTACTTTTACATTTCTAAGATCAAATAATGAATTCAATATGAAATGTTTAATTTTCCAGTTACAATTAGAAAAATAACTATTACTGCAATTATAAAAAATCCTGATATCCTTGATTAGGAATATTTAATGCCAGTACATTAGGGATGATCAGAGTGAAGGGTCTTGAGAACATTAAGAAAGGTCCATGAAGGGGACCTCTGGTGGCCTAGTGGCAAGAAGCTACACTGCAACCCCAGAGGCGCACAGTTCAAATCCACCAGATGCTCTGCCGAGGAAGGAGGGACAATCTCCTCTTGTACCAGTCAGATCCGATTTGACGGTACACACACACACACACACACACACACACACACACACACACACAATAATAATAATAAAAAAAGAAAGGTCCATGAGGTTCTGCTAATATTCTAGCATGCTGAGGCTGTGGGTGTGATAGAAAGGTACTGATTTAGAAGGACCAAAAAGGCACAGAATTTGAAAGTGAGAAAAGGATTAAAAACATGACAAGAACAAGCTTTATACACTCACCTCACCATCTTTTCCATCCCAAGGCTCTATAGAACTTATTTTAGGGAAAGCTCCACCTCCTACAGGTGCTGTAGATCCACGCCCAAAAGAAAGCTCCCTTAAGAGAGGAATTGCCAAAATAAGTACATTAGTTTACAGGGCCTGCAGAGAAGAAAGCTACTTTAAAACACAGTGATTTGCATGCCCATGTATGTGGATATACTGGCCAATGTCGTCCTAAAAAGGATCGCATGGACAGTTTTCAAACAGGACAATAATAAAACCAGGTGTGGGACTTGGCTACAAATTAAAAAACAGTTACCAAAGCTTTAAAAACAACCAAAAACCCCTATAAACAAAAAATTCCTTCAACTCTTTCTGCCATTTAGTCAGAATCAACTCATAATTGTCTCTCCAGTGGATTTCCAGAGGCTATAACTGCACAGAAAGAGACTGCTCATCTTTCTCCCACTGAACTGCTTGCTCGTGGGTTTGAACCATTTGCCCTTTGGGTCCACAGTGAAGGTCCTTACCCACTATAGCGTAAAAAAATACTCCTGGAAGGTTAGTCTCCTCAAGCTAAAATGGAAGGTTTTTAGTAGCAAGCATTTGAGACTAGCCCACAGATCTTAGCAACTGTCCGAAGTACTCACAGCAGCTATCTCAGTTATCTGAAAGTAATGGCAATTCTCTCACGCCTCTTTACGAAGCAAACTAAACAACAGTACATTCTGGCTCTCCAGGTACAACTAAAAACATTTTGCTAGGAAGATGTAAAGGCAGTGACTAGAGTGTGAGAAAAACACTTTTTAAAAAGAAGTACGCCCTCAGGAGGGAGAGACTGGAAAGCATTATGCTGAGTGAACTCAGTTTCATAAGGACAAATTTTACATAAGGCCATTATTGGAAAAAGAAAATCCACAACACACACCCTAGGTAAGATGTTGATCAAAGTCCAAAGAGGAAAGGAGAGGGGTTGGGGGAGTGAGGGTTGTAGCAGTGAGAATAATGGGATCACAGAGTTTGCCTGAGGGAGAGGGTAAAGGAATAAGGATAGATTTAGGGGGACCTGAAAAGACAGGGTGAATGGTGATTTTTTTTAAATACAATGTGAACGGATGTAACACAATACATACCAATTTTTTGTGTAAACAAATTCTTTTTTAAAAAAAGTGTACAAGTGTGCTATGGTGAAGCAGAAGGCTGAATATTAAAAGTCCAGGACATTAACTTATGTGTTTGACAATAACTATTTTGTATGGTGGGGGAGGTGTGGAATGAGTAACTTTATGCTCTATTTTCACTATTTTACATTTTTATTTTTTAAAAAACAAAGCTTGTCAATGGCTACTATTTTTCTCCCCTCTCTTTAGGGGGTATTTTGGCAATATCTAGAGACATTTCAGGAAGCTCTTAGTGGCCTAATGGAAAGAAGCTGCACTCTAATCCCAAAACACCTGGTTCAAATCCAGCAGCAGCTACATGGAAGAAGGATGGGCAGTCCTCCCATGTGATTTATTGCCTCTGAAAACCTACTGGAGTGTCAGCTATGTTGTGCACATGATGGTCCACAACAGAGATGCTAATATACCTACAACGAACAAACTAGAATTAACCACCTGAAAATAGCAACAGTGTCAAGAAGCCCTAATGGACATTATCAATAATATTTTGGAAATACACTCTAGAAACCCACTTCATTAACAGTGTTAGCATAGGATAGGATCCTGAGTAACATCAATTATGGGCAGTAAAAGGTGTTTAGTATAAAAATATAAAGTGTCTGACAAAGTTCTAAAAAATCTGTTAAAAATAGTTCAATGTACTGTTTAAGGTGGACAAACAAATCCAAGTTTATAAGTTGTTGTTAAGTACCGTCAAGTAGTAGATGTCTCATAGTGACCTAAAGACCTGAATACTTGTATAACTTTCAACGTTCTCTAAGTTCATAGAGTTTCTGGAAGCAAGCTATTTCGGAAGTGGATGCTGCTCCTGCTTCCAAGCCTGTTTTAATCGGGAAGCTCCATCAAACACTGTCCACCATGGGTAACCATTACCGCATTTGGCACATCAGTGTCACAGTGTTTAGCATCACAGCAACCATGAGTTACCTCTATACAGCAAACAGACCAGTGCTATATACCACTTAGAAGAATGTCTGACCAAAAACAATTAAAACCAGACCTGAAGGCCGCAGATTAAAATCACCCACCTTTTGCTCAGTTGCATCACTTTCTATCCACTAGGCCAACAGAGCTCTCTCTATGACTCTCAGCAAGTCTATGAACAACAGATCTACCCCTTGCCCTATCCTATGCCATCCTCACAATCTGAGACATGCTCGAACCCATTGTTACAGTCACCGTATCAAGTTTACAAGGGAAACAGAAATCCATGAGTAATAAATGAAAGCCTGCCTACTCTTAACCAGGTTATTTATAATCTGTGAACACTAGCCTCTAAGTCTATAAAACACACATAAATTTTATAGTATCTGATATTGGATGGTCTGGTGGATGGAACTGGGTGTCTTAATGTCAGCAAGATGCTAAGTCTTCCTTTAAAAAGAACAAAATTCTGAATTAGAGTTTAACTGTAAATTTTCCTAATATTTCTGTTAATGCCAAACCCCCAAGTTCCCTATTTTCTGTTTAGGACTAACTGCTGTCAGTTATTTCTAATTAAGAAACTGGTAAGATACATTCCTTGTTTTCAAAAAAACAATAGCTATCAACTAATATAAAATTCAAACCCTTTCTTCACTTCTTGGTACACAATGCACAATTCCATTCTTAAACTTACACTAGTGAACTTGAGAGTTCCTGGATGGGAAAAGCAGTCAATGTTCTTGCTCAACACCATATAAAGTTCAGAATAAATGTCCAAGTCCTCTCTAGGCCTGGGATCTACTTCCAAAAACCAGTCACTGAAAAACTTCCTGGGCAGGTTATTTGGACACACTGAGCTGCTGCACCAAGCTGGAACAGATGCACTAGAACTGGTAAATCTGATGTTGATACAGATTGCTGATATACATTAAGCAATTCTCAAGAAGTTTAGCTGACATTTTCCATGAAGGATACAGGAATTATTTTATGTTCTTTTGAGTTTATAAATGCTGCTACTCTAATATTAATAAACTCAGTTTAGCTCCATAATTATCTTTATTTTCATGGATTGTTTGGATAAGTGCTTCTTTGCACTTATGTACCATCAAGTTGTAACTGACCCATAGCTGACCCTCTGGCTGGTTTTAGAGGCAGTTAGTTAATCGCAAAGGAAGAGACTGTTCATCCTTCTCCTGCGGAGCAGCTGGTGGACTTGAACTGCGTGCCCTCGGTATTCTAGGGCAGCATCTTGCCACTAGGGTACCAGAGCTCCCTGTATTTGCATTACTGGTATTTTTAGTTTTGGTTTTGAAAATCCATGCCTCTCACTGCTAAGCAGACATGAAGATTTTTTTCTCTGCCAGCTCCCAATTCCTGGCTGTCTACTGTATACTGATGATGTGTATGCTGTATACAAATTGACATCTTTTGGTTAGAAAACAGAATTCTTATATAAATTGAACCACATTTACAGTAACACATTTTCGTTCTTCCTATTCATCTTTTTTTTTTATTTTTTTTTTCTTCCTATTCATCTTTAACGACTATAGCTTTGTAGTATCTGAGGTCTTTGCTATTTCAAGATAACAAAGTTGGAGAACCACTAGCATGTGTTGTTGGCCTCGAGATGAAATTGTCTCAGGTTCATGACATCTTATTGTTCCTTATAACTTTTCATTGAAGCTTCTACCTCTTTTGAAACTACTGAAGAAAAGCTAGTTGAAAGTACAAAACTTAGCACCATGACAAGATAAAGGTCAACAACCCAACTGAAAAATGGGCACACGATATGAACAGACACTTCACCAAAGAAGACATTAAGATGGCCAACAAACACATGAAGAAATGTTCAAAATCCCTAGCTCTCTAAGAGAGATGCAACTCACCCCAGTAAGAATAGCAAAATTTAACAAAACAGCGAACATCAAATGCTGGTGAGGTTGCGGAGAAAGTGGAACCCTTATTCACTATTGGTGGGATTGTAAAATGGTGCAACCACAATGGAAGGCTGTATGGCGCTTTCTCAAAAAGTTGCAAACAGAAATACCATTTGGCTCAGCAATTCCACTACTGGGAATATACCCCAAAGAAACCATAACCGCCACCAAGCAGCTATATGCACACCCATGTTTACTGCAGCTTTGTTCACAACAGCAAAGAGCTGGAACAACCCAAGTGCCCATCAACAAATTAATAGCTAGAAAAGCTTTGGTATATTCACACAAGGTAATACTATGCTGCATAGAAAAACAAGGAACTCATGAAATATTATACAAAATGGGTAACCCTGGAGGACATTACCCTGTGTGAAGTATCTCAGTCACAAAAGGACAAATACTGCATAGTGACACTGTTGTAAAATGGGACTGACATTGGGGTTGAGGGGAGACTGAGAATAAGGGAATAAATAAAATATACTGCATTGAAACAGGTAAGGGAAGGGATATATGCTTGGGTATTACTGTCATTATAGGAGTCCTGAATGAAGGCTGCAGAGTGGAGTGGACTTGAGGGGAGGGATTGTATAACAATCAAAGAATTGTTCTTTTACTTTTCAAAGAGAAGAGCAAA